TGGGATTTGGGATTTTTCCACATGGGATTTGGGTTTGAGTGGGATTTTAAAGATTTGTAGTTTGTGCGGCATGTATACCCAAGACATGCCTTATTGTTCCTCATATGATGATTATAACTTAAAACTATGATCATGTAATCCACTTACAAATGATAAATAACCCAAGAAAATAAATGCAAAATTTTTAACAAACGTGCACAAAATTGAAAGCAACAATCACCTCCAAAATTTTGTATAGGACACTTTTTAATTAGAATGTATAAATTGGTTTGCGATTTTTGAAAACCTTGAATTTTTTTCTTGGCATTCAAATACTATAAATATAATAAAGTTTTTTTTTCGAATATTGTTAAATTTTCCTTAATCAACCAGATTACATGAATATAGTTTTTTAACATAATGAACTCTAGACACTTTAGTATACTAATGACTATCGTGCCAGATTCCCTAAAGTTAAAGATGAAATAAAAATTTATGCATATTGCTATTAATACTTTGAATAATTTCGATATAAAAATAGCATATAGTCTGCTCTTAATACAGAATTTTGACATGGCACAAATTGCACAAAATCAGTTATATATAGACATATATAGCCTAGTATTTTACAAGTTTTGAGGCCTGAATCCAAATGCTCATAGTAAAAGACTCGGATATTTTAGTTATTGTGTGGACACAATACATGGGAGTACTTTATTCTAAAAAAAAAGATTAAATAAAAATAATCTTAAAAACAAAGTGAAAAAAAAAAATTGGGTTGATGTCTAGAGAATTCTTTGTTTAAGTATAAATTCTTTATTTTCTCTCCAAATTCGATTTAGGTTTTATTTCGAAACTTTTTTCTTTACAAAGAGACCGATAATGATTCTTTTTTTTTTCTTCAGAACAACTGAAATAAAAAAGAATGATTCTTTTTAAAAAAAAACCAAGAGTTTTTTTACATTATCTTCAATGGAATTATTGATAATTTCAATTCGATATATTTTCTGCAAGTTTTGGTTTAATAACCATATTGAAAAGAATGTAGAGGTTGTTTTTTTTTTACTTAAGCAAAAAAAATTGTTTTTTAGCATGTTTATATTATTTAATCTATATACTGTATATATCTAATATATATACAGTATTAAAATACAATGTGTGTTACACAGTAAATAATTCGATTATTGGCTAAGCTCAAAATAATTAGCATACAATATACTGTATATATATTATAATATATATCACATGGGTATAACATAACATTGTATATAAATTTATTTAAATCAAATATATAATATATACAGTATATATATAATATATAAATTGGAATATATAAATTTACTCTGAAGCAAATTGTTCAAGAAAGTCTAAGGCTATGCAAAAATTGGACAAAAATGATGAAATATCACGTATGTCTAGTACAAATGATATAAATATTGATCTATGTGTTCCTCAAAATATAATATTACAGATTCATGACCCAAAAAGTGACGGTAATTGTGGGTTTCGATTATTAACCATAGCAATTTTTGGGGATGAAAAACATTGGTGAGAAATTAAGACTAAAATAATGTTTCACTTGAATGAGCAACATGATATTTATAAAAAATTAGAATATGCTGCTGGTCAACTAAAAGAAGTTTTATCTTATACAAATTTGGGAATTGCTTTACAAAAATACTGGTTTTATTCGCCAAAATGTGCGCAGCTAGCATCAGACATATTCAATGTACCAGTCATAGTATTGACTGCTGAAAGCTATTCCTTCATATCACTTAACCAAGAGCCTGGTTTTTGCAAAAGACCTATCATTCTTCAATGGCATGATAGCCACATTAAGTTAATTGAACATAAAAATTGGTATACTCAACCTCTCTCTCTAAATCCTCAGTACAAATCTTTATATAAAAATTTTATATCATAGCTAGGGTTTAAAATTAAGCCCTCCCAAAATAGATCCTATCAAAACCCTATTATAATCGATTAATATCATGTATATTCTCTAACTAGTATAGCACATGTAGCTTTACCAAGTGTTAATACAAAATTTAGATTTTTTGATTCATTCAAAAACTTAAATTAGACATCTTATAGACTTTCTTTTGCAAGCAAAATTTTCATGTTATATATTTTTATTTTGTAATTAGAATCTTCTGATTATTATTGATTAACATAAAACTTACAAAATTACGATTTAAAAGAAATAAGAGAAATAATCCAATATTTATTTATTTATTTGGATCTTATTTAATATAGGTGGAAATATATAAATATTATAAGGTTATTTAATATAAAAAAACTCTAACCATAACCCAAAGCTAACTATAAACTATACTATGACACTCACCCTAACCCTAACTATTCTCAAATCTGTTCAGATTAGTTTAAATAATTATTTTTATATTAAATAATCTTATAATATTTATATATTCCCATCTATACTAAATATCAACCATTTATTTATTTATTTATTTACAGATTTATTTATTAAAAGCATTCAAAGAATTTTTTTAGTAATTGTAAATATTGAGCTATACAAAATTAATTTATTGATTTTTTTAGTCTGGCCAGGTCTAAAAATCCAAAATTGGTATTTTTAATTTTTTTAAAAAAAATTTAGCCAATAGAAATATAAATCGCTTTACTGTAGATAGATTAATCGACCAATAAGAATATATTGTTAATTATAAGATTATTAATATCAAGATATGAGGACCCCCATAGCAAAACAGACTAGTGGGCAAAAAATTTTGTTTTTGTAATTTTATAAAAATTGTATTTCTAATACTTCAATTCTTCGAGAAATTGAGTTTTTTAAAAAAAAATTTTTTTTGCCCACTGGTTTGTTTTGCTGTGGGGGTTCCCATATAATGAATTAGAAAGAAGATTATGCAAGTTCTTTGTCATTATATATATTATTGTTTAAAAATTTCTAATCTAATATTATATTAATTTAGATACAATGGAATACTCAATATCCTTTTATTACGGAAGCTAAAAAACTTTATGGGAAAATATTCGAATATCAACCTTAATCAATTACATATGAGTCAATTTAATGATCAATTTGGTAATTCAGAAAACCAAAATATAGATAATAAAGAATTGAGTACTGAAGATTGCGAATCTGAATCTGAAATTTTAAAAGTACAAAAATCTCATGAGGTGTAACCAAATTTTTCAAAAATGATAGATGACAGTAAAGATTTTGAACGAGCAAAAAAGCTTTCAAAAACTTGAGAGGACGCAACAAAATACCTTTTACTAGTAGCATAAATATTCAAATTTGACGCTTGATGTAAATTACTGCATGCCTGATTATTCGATTGCACATGATTGTAGTGATTGTATACGATTTCTTGATAAAATTTTTTATTTGAATTTTATGAATCTATGGAATTCAAATAAAAAAAATTCATCGAATTTGATCAGGTGGCTCATTGTTTACCAAAAATAGAAGCTGTGCTAAATTTTTCCTAAAGCTTTGAGCAAAGATATTTCAGCAATCACTTGATGAAATTTGATGAAATTTTTATTTGAATTCTACAGATCAATAGAATTCAAATAAAAAATTTTCATCGAATTTGATCAGATAGTTGCTGAAATATCTTCGTTCAAAATTTTAGGAAAAATTTGGCGTAGCTTTTATTTTTGATGTTTTAATATTTTTAAAAAACTTTGAGCGAAGATATCTCAGCAACCACCTGATCAAATTCGATAAATTTTTTTATTTAAATTCTATAGATACATTGAATTCAAATAAAAAATTTTTATCGAATTTG